AGAAAATCACAGATAAATTTAAGCATTTAAGCTCTCAAAAGAAAGAACAAATAGGAACGAAAGATGTTGAGCTCTTCATTAATACTCTTAAAGAAATAAATGTATTTGACTTTAATTAGAGAACTTTTCACAAGAAGATTAGGAATAAATTAAAAAAGCATAGATTAAAACCATTGGTTAGGGGAGACAGATCGTCGAATTTTTGAAAATTCCCTTGTATATTTGACAGTTGCTGATGAGAAATTTATCGACTGTGGATCTAATTCGCTCAATTTTTTAGTCGAAATGAAAGTGGATTTTAGGGAATTAAGTTTTGAGAATATAGGACCTCTTTGGTTGGCTGAACTTTTGTAAGATAGAATTCTATGGATCCGAATTTGACAATGTAAATATTAGTGGAATGAACTTGAATTAATATAAAAATAAAAGGTTAAATAAATTAGATGGTCATGGTGTGGTGTAAATTATAATCAGGTAAAAGGAGAAAAAAAAAGATTACGATATTGAAATTTCGTTGAGGTTGATTTTTCCAACCCCAAAAACTTATTTCTGCAATTCATATATTTAACTTAATAAAATTTATTCACATCAAATAATGTTTAAATCTCCTTATTTCATATTCCTTATTTTTCATTTGGTCTTGTTAAGTGTAATTAGATATAAAATAAAATACCTGAAACCTAATTTACATTCATTCTATTTCAATTTAAAATGAAATTCAATCTATTATATCTCATAAAATTTATTCTTTGTTGTTACATAGTTGTTTTTTCAATTTTGACATATTCCCACATAGCTTCAACGAACAACCAGTCTTCAGTCCAATGGAAATAGTAACTTCAAATTATCGCAATAGATGGATTGAGGTTTAGGGAAGATTGGATATCTACCCTTGCAACAGGCACGAATAAAGAAAAAGAATTGCTCTATCAAAAAGGTCCTCCGACATTCGGCCTTAGGGGTTTTTTGCCTTCGTGTTCGATAGGTGGGTAATTATCAGATATTAAAAACGAAACCAGACAGAATAATAATATTAATAGATATCTAATCACATCGAAACCTCATAAATTTTACATATGTATTCCATTATAACATTGTATTTTTTTTGGTAAAAACTCAAAGTAAATTAATAAAAATTCAATATAAATTTAAAAAATAAAATGTATTGCGAAAATGAGAAAGTTAGAGAGTTGTATCAGGTTTTGTCCTTATCCAATGAGGTTGATGAAGTGGTCCTCCCTATCCTCATAAACATATTAAAAAAAGAGGGAATTTAAGACTGCCTAGAATTTCTCTCATAAGATCAAAATCTATTCCTTGTTGAAATGGAAAGGTAAAAGGTAGAAAATTTATCTCTGTTTGATAAAGATTTGACTCTCAATGCAGAGAAGAACATTAAGAGAATAAAGGATGTTCTTAAAAATATTAGGGATCATAAATATAACAGACTGAATTACTCGATGGAGGATTATGAAGAAATTAAAAAAGATCTGATCATAAAAATATCATGGGATAAGAAAATTATAGAATTTCTCAAAAATTTAGTTCATCTTACTGCATTAGATGACAAATATATTTAATGTGGATCTAATTCCCTTCATTTGTTGGTTTTAATGAAGGTTGATTTGAGGGAATCATGTTTTGAAAATATCAGGATTAGAGATACCACTTTAGTTGGTGGAAATTTTGTAAGGTGTAATTTCAATGGATCAGAATTGGACAATGTAGATATTAGTGGAATAAATTTGAGTTAAGCTTAAATGTTTAATTGTAAGTGGAGGAAATTAAGAATAAATGAATTAAGAATACTAAACGGCCATAGTGGAGTGGTTAAACAGATTTCTTTCTTTCCAGACGGTAAGTCATTAGCTTCTTGTAGTGATGATAAATCCATTCGTCTATGGGATGTGGAAACAGGAAAAATAAAGAACATAATCAGTGGAAAGTATGAATTAAAATCAGTATGCTTTTTAACTAATAATACCACATTAGCTTTTAGCAGTGGAAGATATGTGTATTTATGGAATCTTAAAACAGGAAAATAAATCGCAAAATTAAATGGTCATAGAAGATAGGTTAATTCAATCTGTTTCTCTCCTGATGGTACTACATTAGCATCTGGTAGTCGAGATAACTCTACCCGTTTATGGGAAGTTAAGACAGGATAATAAAAAGCCAAATTAGATGGTCATTCTGATACCGTATGGACAGTCACTTTCTCTCCTGATGGTGCTACATTAGCATCTGGCAGTTATGATACCTCTATTCGTTTATGGGATGTTAAGACAGGAAAACAAAAAGCCAAATTAGATGGTCATTCTAATATAGTATGGACAGTCAATTTCTCTCCTGATGGTACTACATTAGCATCTGGTAGTTCAGATATGTCTATCCATTTATGGGATGTTAAGACAGGAAAACAAAAAGCCAAATTAGATGGTCATTCTAATACAGTATGGACAGTCAATTTCTCTCCTGATAGTAGTACATTAGCATCTGGGAGTTCAGATAAGTCTATCCGGTTATGGGATCTTAAGACAGGATAATAAAAAGCCAAATTAGATGGTCATTTTGATATAGTAAGGACAGTCAATTTCTCTCCTGATGGTGCTACATTAGCTTCTGGTGGTTCAAATATGTCTATCCATTTATGGGATGTTAAGATAGGATAATAACAAGCCAACTTAGATGGTCATTAATATGTCGTAACTTCAGTCAATTTCTCTCCTGATGGTACTACATTAGCATCTGGTAGTTGTGATAACTCTATTCGTTTGTGGGATGTTAAGACAGGAAAACAAAAAGCCAAATTAGATGGCCATTCTGAAATAGTTTTATCAATTTGTTACTCTCCTGATGGCACTACATTAGCATCTAGTAGTTATGATAGCTATATTCATTTATGGGATGTTAAGACAGGAAAATAAAAAGCCAAATTAGATGGTCATTCTGATAGAGTATGGACAGTCAATTTCTCTCCTGATGGTACAATATTAGCATCTGGTAGTTGTGATAACTCTATTCGTTAATGGGATGCTAAGACAGGATAATAAAAAGCCAAATTTGATGGTCATAGAAGATGGGTTAATTCAATCTGCTTCTCTCCTGATGGTACTACATTAGCATCTGGTAGTTCAGATATGTCTATCCATTTATGGGATGTTAAGACAGGATAATAAAAAGCCAAATTAGATGGTCATAGAAGATAGGTTAATTCAATCTGTTTCTCTCCTGATGGTTCTACATTAGCATCTTGTAGTTGTGATTACTCTATTCGTTTATGGGATGTTAAGACAGGATAATAAAAAGCCAAATTTGATGGTCATAGAAGATAGGTTAATTCAATCTGTTTCTCTCCTGATGGTACTACATTAGCATCTAGTAGTTTAGATATGTCTATCCATTTATGGGATGTTAAGACAGGATAATAAAAAGCCAAATTAAACGGTCATTAACATGCAGTTACTTCAGTCAATTTCTCTCCTGATGGTACTACATTAGCATCTGGTAGTTATGATAACTCTATTCGTTTATGGGATGTTAAGACAGGAAAATAAACAGCCAAATTAGCTGGTCATTCTAATACAGTATGGACAGTCAATTTCTCTCCTGATGGTACTACATTAGCATCTGGTAGTTCAGATATGTCTATACGTTTATGGAATGTTAATGCAAAATAAGAAATCTTTTATTCAGATAATCGATATAAAGATACCCCACAGCATTTTAAGCCTTCAACAATTTTAAATGAAGTTCTTTCACAAAGTTGTATTTATTCTTTCACTATTCTTAGCTACCTCTTATATTTCCATTCTAAAAATTTCCCCTAATCCAATTTTAGATGCTTAAGGCGCTTTGATCTTGGAAGGAGAATTCTTTGATTATAAAGGATTTGATTTACGATCATTTTTTAAATCTAAAGGTAGTTTAATTATAGAGAATGAACTAAAATCGAAAAAATATTGATCATTATTCAAAAGCCATTAAAATAATTCAATATCAATTTATTTTTATTAATTTTGTTGTTAATTGTTAAATGTTTACTTAACTTAATAGTTAGAATAATGATTTTATTTTTTGCCTGATTGTAAAATTCTTCTAACCGAGAAAGAGATATTAAATTTTCAGAAAAAATTATATACATATCAATATACACAATTTCACCTTGTCGAATGATATTTTAACAGTCAAAAGTAAATCTAGCTTAAAGAGAGTCGTTTTATACATCAGCTTGACAAAATTAAAACTTAATTTGATAAAAAAATACATTTATAGAAAAAGTGTTTATTATTCGTACTAGATATAGATCATTTGATTTAACACACACTCTTTGTGGATTAAAATTACCATTTAAAAATGAGCCTTGATTCAGATGAAAATCTGTGATTTTTTTCGTGATTTGATGAATATGTAATGATTTAATACGCCATTTTATTATCAAATCTAATTTCTATCAATATTAATTATATTGATTTGATATTAATTTTTATAAAATGTGCCTCCTAAGTATTATTTCAATATATTTGCATCTATCTCCTCATTTACAATTTATGGATATTGAGCATTTCATACAAATAAAGTTATTTTTTTAGAAATAATTAGTAAAAGTGGAAGCTCACGGCTTGAAATATCTACCTTGAAACATTTAAGGATATTCCATAAAAAATATGGGGTTCAATAGAACTTTCATTATCATGGCTTAATAAGGCCAATTTGTTAAAAATCAAGACGTTCACTTTATCAAATACTAATACTCTATGAAAAATATGGAAAGTAATCCCTGATGTTATATAAAATACTCCATATGAAATGAAGAACTGAAAAACAAAAATACCCTTGTCGTAAAAGTAATTTTTTTAGAAATTCTAAAATCTAGTTGCACATCTGGCTAAAGTCAACCAAAATGGAATGGAAAGCTACACGGGAGGCTTTCCAATAATCTGCCCCTCATCATTGGTGTGGATATCAATTATTAATTGAGGAAAAATCCAAATCCATAATAATTTGGTCACAAAAAA